TACGGGGACTCCAGTAGGTTGGAAGGAAGCACTGAGCCCAACAGTGCGAAGGGAAATGGAGTAACGTCAATACAAAATGCAACAGAGCTGTAGCACGGAGCTGCATCGGAGAGAGAAAGAGCCCCACCACAGAGCTGCACGTTTCTGCTCCCAACGCAGAGCAATTTAGAGCTGGGTCATGGAGTCCTGCTATACAGCTGCACAATAGAGCTCCACCGTGGAGCTCCACCACAGAGCCTTTGCTCCACCGTGGAGCTCCACCACAGAGCCTTTGCTCCACCGTGGAGCTCCACCACGGAGCCTTTGCTCCACCGTGGAGCTCCACCACGGAGCCTTTGCTCCACCGTGGAGCTCCATCACGGAGCCTTTGCTCCACCGTGGAGCTCCACCACGGAGCCTTTGCTCCACCGTGGAGCTCCAACACGAACCTCAGAGCTCTGCACCTCGGGGCTGCACCAGAGGATGGTGCTGTAGCACTAATCTTGCTCACTGTTCCTCAGAGCTTTGGTAACCAGCACATCGCCCATTTACGTCTCAAACCGCTTTCCAGCTCGTTCCTCGTCAAGCCGAGTTACCGCGTTCCTTGTTGGCCAACGCTGGCGGCAGCCAATTTGCGGGCGGGAGGGCGAGAGCAACTACACCGCCACTACACACTACACCGCCACTGTGTGCCACTGACCGTCGAGAAGAGCTCGAAGGGTTAAGATACCTGGGTCGGTGCTCGGGGAATGATTGTGCATTCACTGCCTCATCTCAGTCAATCGTCAGATGACGCCCTTTTGAAAGGTCTTGGTAGTAATCTATTAATGCACACGGGAGCCAGAGGATACTGTGGTGAACTGGGCCCTCGTCTGGCTCTCTTGTCTGTCCACCCATGTTCGTAAATGCCAAGTCAATTCCAATACATTTTAGTCTTAAAAACAAAATTGAAGGTCAGGGGACTTTGAGCTCCCAGTCCAGCCTGACGCTCCATCAGAGTGCTGCGGGTGGGGGCGGCGGGGGGGGAGAGAGTGAGAGAGAGAGTGAGAGAGAGAGAGAGAGACAGAGGTGGGGGGGGAGAGAGTGCCGCATTATCAGAGGATCCTACCTTAGGATGCAACCTTAAGCCTTGCATAGGGGTTGGAGCACTCACTTCGCAAGTGGGTTTGATTCCCAGGTGGGTTGGGGTGAAACCTTAGGCAAGTTTCCTTACTCCACGCGCACCCCTCTATTTACCGAGCAGTAGGCAGGAACCCGGTTGGTAGTGGATCAGCGAGCGGATCACTTTTCTGAGCTAATAACCCCTCCCAAAAAAAAATTCGAGCCGCGACTGTTTGTGGGACACTGCTGTGCTCCATTGGCTGCACAAAATACACAGTCAAAATATATAAAATATACTTCACAGCATATTCTGTGAAGCGCTCTGAGATGTCTCAACGGCACGATAAGACGCTTTATCAAATGCAAGGTTTATTATCATTGAAAATATCAAATGCCTGAATGATTATTATATAAAATTATTATATATTATACGTTGCTAACCTGGCAGTGCGGATGGACAGTGCAGAGAGAGCTTTACTACGTCTCTAATCCTGACTTGGGAGTGTGGACAGTGAAGGTGAATGAATTTGTCTTTAGTGATCACGTTTCTCGCTCTCTGGGGATGCAATACAGAACCACATCAGGCTTAATTCCCTTCAATTGATGTGTCTCTCATTATGGTTGTCACGGCTCACCTATTCCGCGTTTGAAACAGTCGTTGTCTATGACTGTATTCAATCTTGACTTCTCATTAATGTTCGTGCTCAACATTCAGTCCTGAGCCTGTTCATATTCCTTCCGTACTAAGTGAATGCCTTCCTCATGGCCTCAGTCTGCGTCTGAAATCACTTCACCAACTCGCACCTCTCTACCTCACCCCCCCACTCCACAACCCGCCCCCTTCGCTCAGCTGGCTCGGGCCTTCTGCACGTCCCCTTACCCCCCCTCCCCAACCACCCCCCGCTTTGCCATCGGTGACTGTGCTTTCAGCCACCAAACGATGAACCTCTACAACTCGCTGCCTCTACTCCTCTGCCTTGCCCCCACTTCATATCGCATCGGAAGAACCTTTCTCCTGCCAACCTGCGCCTAAGACTCCGCGGAATTAGGTAAGCAGGAGAAAGCGTCCCTCGAGGGAGATGGAGAGAGAGAGAGAGAGAGAGAGAGAGCGAGTGTGCATTCTATTCATTCTATCCATTCCATCTCTGTAATTTCCATATGTTTGTGGGATGTATGGAATTCTCAGTTGGGTTTGGAGACTCTTAGGCAACAGTGAGGGTTCCCGCACGTGTCAGACACCCGGCCGGGCCCCCCCCCCTCCCAAAAGAAATCTCTTCGATCGTGCCTATGGTCTCTCACCTTCCCTGTTCCACACACACTCCCCCGGCTCGGGTCGTGCTCCTCCACTGTTAAGCGCTCCGGGACACTACCCTGCACGAAGGGCACTGTGTAAATGCAAGTTGTGTTACTGCAAATGATCGAACAATACATAGAGATCGAAACAATCTCTCTGTTCAGCCCCTTAACCCTAAAAGAGGGGTTCTTCGACCCCTCCCCGGAGTGTTTTAGGCAACATGCCCCCACCAAACAGGAAATCTGACCACGAAGAGATCTGACCATCGACCAATCTCTTAGAATGATCACTCGACTCCCATCGTGTCTGTGCTGGTGCTCACTCCCCTCACTGGAGCTCTCTATTCTAACCCCATTCCCTGCTCTCTCTCTCTCTCTCTCTCTCTCTTTCTCTCTCTCCTCCATCGTGTCTTTGCTGGTTTTGCTCCCCCCCCCCACTGGGAGGCAAGAGTGGGAGCACGCGAGTGGGGCTGATACCCCTGTATTGAAGGAAAGCAAGAGAGAGCAGGAATACTGTCACTTTAAATCTATTGTGACCGCGGGTAATTGTATGCAGCAGCTGAGGTGAGCTGCTATACCGAGCTTCACACAGCTAACGGTGGCCAGTGAGCAGACAGAGCGCTTCCTTGCGACTCAGGGCGAAGACGGGAACGGGAGAAATAGTGGATAAAGGGCGAGCGAGAATGACTAAGGCACTGACTTCGCCTGCTCCTGTAGACGTACACACTTAGAAGCGTGTGTCTGTGACAACACGCCCAGGGTTGGGTTTTAGCATCATCCCAGCATTGACTTGCAGTTAAAACTTTATTAACCGGCTTCAAGCGATGATAACTCGGGATTAACCACAGATGGGATAAGGTGAGTGACAAATCGTTGCCTCTTACTTTGTCTTGTTTTGTTCTGGCTCCGAAGGTCGTGTGACACAGCCTCGGTGTCGGCAGGGGCTTTGAGCAATAATAATAATAACCCTCGCATTTGATACAGCGCCTTATCACGTCTTCGAGACGTCTCAAAGCGCTTCACAGGATATACCGTAGAGCGGAGTGATGGTGTGTTTTGTGGGCAAGTACATAGGCAGCACGAGGAAGTTGGGAGTGTGCCGTATTGACAGGAACGCTGTTCTTTGCATTAGACCTTAAACCCAGCTCTCATCTGTGCTCTGGATGTTAAAGTCCTGTAGTTCAGTGGTTAGTGCACTCGCCTCGCAAGCGAGAGGAACCGTGTTCAATTCCCGGGAGGGCAAAACATTGGGCAAGTTTCCTTATTCCACACACACACACACACACACCTGTTTACCCAGCAGTAAGTAGGAACCCGGTTGTTAGTCGATTGGCGCATCACTTTTCCACGGTTAATAATCCCTTCAAAAAAACCCTATAACTTGGTCACTCGATCCACGACTGTTTGTGGGACGCTGCTGTACGCAGTCGGCTGCCGCGTTTTGCCCCAAAATATACAATCAATTCACTTTACAGTTTATCACGTCGTTGAGACGTCTCAAAGCGCTTCACAGGATACACTGTAATGTGAATTGACTTTGATTTAATTTGTTAATTCAGCTTAATGGCTGTGCGCGGGACCTTTTGTTGCGTACAAAATGACAGCTCGGACTCCGGAGAAGAGTCACTACGGTTTGGAGATGTTTCGATGTTAGAGGCACTGCGTCTGAATGAAAAAAAGGTTATTCTGATTATAACCCCGAACATCCCTCCTTCTCATTGTAAAGATTGCTCCGCAGAAACCCCCCTGCAAACCAACACACAATACATAGCGGGGTTTCTGTGTGGGGCAATCTTTACAATGAGAAGGAGGGATTTTCGATCAATTGGAAGGAGTAAGGGAGTGTTTGTGAGGGAGTGACAGGTTTAGAATTCACTATGAAAAGGGCGCATGTGTGGAGGGGGGAATATAGTTGACACGCCAATTGCGTGTGAACACTCACAACCCATCAGAGAGCAGATATTAACCTTTACTCAATGCACGATTGGCATTCAGAGAACAGAGGAGGTAAATTGTGTTAAAAGCTGGATGGATTCAGCCTGTTTCTTAAAGAGGGAATGTTAGCACATGTGAAGGAACTGGAGTAATACCATCAGGGACGTAGACAAGGTGATGTCTGGGAGGAGAGACTGAGAACGACAGAGCAAAGGACACACAGAGGAAGGTAGTGACACCGGGCACAGGCAGTTTACTCCAGAGTCAATCGAGTTGATCGATATTAATAGTAATAAGAATTCTTGCATTTGATACAGCACCTTATCACGTCTTTGAGACGTCTCAAAGAACTTCACAGGATACACCGTAAAGTGGCGTGACTGTGTACTTTGTGGGAGAAACGCGGCAGCCAATAACGCCTAACACAATACAAAATGATCACTTGGGGACGGTCCTGTCTTAAGCGAGGTGATCTCTCCGCAGACTGAAATGAAGCACGCTGATGCAGTGACACGGGAAGCCCTGATCAAAGCCAAAGCAGATCGTGCAGAATCCAACCCACCCGATCGTACAGAATCCAATCCAACCCGAAAGGCTCCTGGGCTTTCACTGATGCTCGGACTGGTGGTGGGCGGGGGCCTGGTTTCCCGGAGGCTGACTGCCAGCGCTGGGTAACGCCAGGGTCTGCGGTGATGCAGAACGCCACTTCAGGCCCCCCGGACGGCAACTACTGCTCCGAATCGGGCTGCAACCAGACTAAAAGGTCTGTGTACTACGAGCTCCCCGATGACATCTTCTCCCTGCCCGTACTCACGGGAGTGACGGTGGTCTGCATTTTCCTCTTTATTGTCGGCGTCCTGGGGAACGTGTTGACCATCCTACTCGTGGCCAAGTACAAGGAGATGAAGACCACCACGAACCTCTACCTGTCCAGCATGGCGCTGTCGGACATTGTCATCTTCATGTGCATGCCCCTCGACCTGTACAAGATCTGGAAGTACAAGCCGTGGAGTTTCGGGGAGCTTATCTGCAAGCTGTCGCAGTTTGTCAGCGAGGGCTGCACCTACGCCACCATCCTGCACATCACAGCGTTGAGCATGGAGCGGTACGTGGCTGTGTGCTTCCCCCTCAAGGCCAAGGTGTTTGGGACCAAGTCTCGGATCAAGGCGATTATCGTGGGCTTGTGGATGGCTGCCTTGACCAGCGCTGGGCCTGTCTTCTTGCTGGTCGGAGTAGAGTTTCAGAACGGCACCGATCCGTCCAAGACGAGCGAGTGCAAGTGTACAGAGTACGCCGTGAGTTCAGGCCTTCTGAACGCCATGACTTGGGTTTCCAGCTTTTACTTTTTCGTCCCGGTCTGCTGCCTCACTATCCTGTACGGACTGATAGGGAGGAAACTGTGGAGGAGGAGGAGGAGGAATCATAGGGACAGGAGCAACAGGCAGACCATCAAAATGCTGGGTGAGTACTCCTAACCTCCCTCGCCTCCTTCAAGGCACGTCTCGAGACCTTCCTCTTCAACCAAATGCACGCGCCTTCGATCATTCTCCTATCCCCCACCTCACCCTCCCTTGCCCTCCCACCCCTCCTGATCCCAACCACCAGCTCGGGTATAATCCCTTGACTGTCCAGCGCCTTGGGATGTTCTCCTGACGTGAAGGGCGCTGTGCAAATGTCATTTTGTTGTTGTCGTCGTTGTTGTTGCACTCCGCAATATTTCCCTTTGTTTGGCTCAGTCGCTCGCATTCCAGGTCAGTAAATTCAAGTTGGGAGTCGAGCTCACTGTCTAACCTGCCGTTCCTGTCCTCCAGTGGAGGGTTGGGTTGGGCTAGCTGAGATGGTAAAGCAAGATCCCACACGTCCTCTGTCCAAGTGGACGTCAAAGATTCCACATCGCTATTGGAAAAGAGAAGAGAGTTTCTCTCTCTCTCTGTCTCTCTCTCTCAGTGTCCTGGCCACAATCCCCCCCCCAAATTGGCTGCTGCGATCGCCCACAAAATACACAGTCGCTGCACAAATCCCACAAACTGCTTTGAGGCGTTTTGAGGATGTGATAAAGTGTTGTATCGACTGCGAGGGTCCAGCAGCGTAGCGGTTAGAGCTCTCGACTCATAAGCGAGAGGATCCGGGTTCGATTCCCGGGCAGGTCAGGTCGGGGCAACACACGCACACACACACACAGACTCTGTTTACCTAATAGTAAGTAGGAACCCCATTGTTAGTCGATTAGCGGATTGCTTTCCGGGGGTAATAATCCCTCCCCCAAAAAGTCGGTCGCTCAATCCAAGACTGTTTGTGGGACGTCGCTGCGCGCAATTGGCTGCCCGCAAAATACAGAGTCACTCCACTTTCCAATATATTCTGTGAAGCGCTTTGAGACATCTCAACAATGTGATAAGGCGCTATATCATACGCAAGAATTACTGTTATTACATTACTATTATTATTATTATTATTATTCATCAGATAGGATCAGGTTCTCTTATAAGAGTAAAGCAGTTTTGCAAATTGATCCAGCCTTAACTGACAATAATAATAATCCTTCCATTTGATATAAGAAGCCTTATCACGTCTTCGAGACGTCTCAAAGTGCTTCGCAGGATGCACTGTAAAGTGAATTGCCTGCGTGTTTCGTGGGCGGATGAGGGAGTGGGATTGAATTGAGAAGCTCTTATTGAGTCAAGTCAGCGTGGACACGCTGGGCCGAATGACTTCCTTCCGCCCTGTAAATTTCTACAGTAACAGCCCGGCCCTCGCTAACTGGCAGGTGGATTGACAGTAACAGGTAAATTAAGCAACAACACGAAGAATGAGTGCGGCCGGTACAGATAAAAGGTCAAATTGCCAATTAGAGTGCGCTTTGTCAACCCTGGTGCCTTTATTTTTGAAACCATCTCTCGTCTAAATAATTCCTGAAAATCACGCTTTTTCACCTAAATATCTTCCAACGTTTCGCGGACAGAGGACTGAGCCGCCCAAGTCTCAGGCAACATAGCTCCTCGCGGTGTAAGATTGCGACAGAATTGCCATAAGACTGTCAATCCGCAAAACGGTTTCCCACAGATCCTATGATAATAATAATAATAATCCTTGCGTCGTTGAGACGTCTCAAAACGCTTCACAGCGTATATTGTGAAGTAGATTGACTGTGTATTTTATGGGCATCCAATTGCGCAGAGCAGTGTTCCACAAACAGTCGTGGATTGAGCGACCGTGTATATTTTTCAGAGGTTATTACCCCCAGAAAGCGCTCGGCAGTCAACTAACAAGCGGGTTCCTACTTACTGCTAGGTGAACAGAAGCGTGTGTGTGAAGTAAGGAAACTTGCCCGGGAATGAAACCTGGGTCCTCTCACTTGCGAGGCGAACCACTAAGCCACACAGGACTCCACGTCTTTCCCATAGGATAATGTCTCAGAGTGCTTCACAAAGGAGAAAGTGAGTGGAGATGCATTTAATGAGGGAGTTTATTTCTTTAGACAAAGAGGGCTGATTTAGACAAGTGGAGGAGTAGACACGACCACAGAGACAGGGAGGTATTACGGCACTGAATGATTGAATTGATGAATTCAACAAGGGGGCATCACCTCAAAATTGGAGCCAGGCCATTAAGGAATGAAATCAGGAAGCATTCTTTCATGCACACACAAATGCTAGTGGAAACGTGGAACTCTCTCCCTCTCTCTCCCGCAAAAGGCTGTGGATGCTGGATCCATTCGCATTTTCAACAACAACCACCTGCATTTACATGGCGCCCCCTCACGCAGAGCATCCCAGAGCGCTTGACAGTGGTGGAGCTGGGAGAGGGTGGGGTGGGGGGGGGGTGGAGGTGGCAATGGGCAAGGTCGAAAAGGCAGGTCTTCAGGCGCGACCTGAAGATGGGGAAGGGAGGGGGCAAGGGGGAAAGATTGGGGGAGCGTGTTCCTGAGTTTTGGGGCGTACTGGCTGAAAGAGCGGTGAATAGATTTTTTCAGACTGAGGCGGGCGGATGTTTGTTAGGGTATCAAGCAATACAGAGTAATAATAATAATAACCCTCGCATTTGATACGGCTCCTGACCGCATCTTCGAGACGTCTCAAAGCGCTTCACAGCATACCCCGTAAAGTGTAGTGACTGTAATATTTTGTGGGGTGAGGGCGGGTAACTGGAGTTTAGGTACCAATCAAGCCACGGTCTAACAGAATGGCGGGACAGGCTCAAGGGGCTGAACGGCCTGACCTCCTCCTGTTCCTCCTATGTTGCTAAGATCGAACATGCTGCGTTGTGTTAAGAGCCACGTCTTGTCCTGTGTTTTTTTTTAATCCTTCCCTTTCCTTTCCGCACATCCAGCGGCCATCGTCCTCGGCTTCGTCCTGTGTTGGCTGCCGTTCCACATCGGCCGCAACCTCTCCTCTATGTCGGCGGGCACCCCCCAGATGTACGTCGTGAGCCAGTACTTTCACATCATCTCCTTCGTGCTCTTCTACCTGAGCGCGGCCATCAACCCCATCCTCTACAACATCATGTCGGGCCGGTACAGGGCTGCTATGTGCAAGATGCTGAGCGGGAACCGGAGTCATCGACGGGAGAACGCAGTAGGAGCTGCCACGTACTGGTGCACGGACTCGGAAGCTCAAGTGTAAGAGGGAAATGTACTCGCTGCTCAAGTAAATCAATAAACATCGACCTGGATGAGTGTGTCTGTCTGTCTACCTGCCTGCGTCTTATGTTCATCCGTAGCTCTCACCGCTGGAGAGGGGTGGGGGAATTCAAGCCTGCGCGTCAGGGACTTGAGATCACCAGTGTCGGTTTTCCACAAGCTGGGTAGAATTTCCTTGGAATGTGCAGCGTGGAAACCGGTCTGTGCCGGTGTTTATACTCCGCATGAGTATCCACGATCAAACTCACTCCGACGCACCCCTTCTCTATCCCTCTCTACCTCATGTGTCTATGTAGCTTCCTCTTAAATGCACCTACATAATAATAATAATTATAATAAGCCTAGCATTTGATACAGCGCCTCAAAGCGCTTCACATAATATACTGTCAAGTGGAGTGACTGTTGGTTTTGTGGGCCCATTGCGGCAGCCAACTGCACACAGGCTGTGTCCCACAAGCAGTCGGGGATTGAGTGACCAACTTTTTTTTTTGAAGGAACTATTACCCCCGGAAAAGCGATCCGCCAATCGACTAACAACCAGATTCCTACTTACTCCGAGGTAAAAAGAGGCGCCACGCGCGTGTGTGTGTGCGGGTGTGGGTGTATGTGTGTGTAGTAAGGAAACTTTTGCCCAACGTTTTGCTCTGCCGGGGCGGGAATTGAACCCAGGTCCTCTCGCTTGTGAAGCGAGTGCTCTAACCACTGAGCTACAGGACTCCACTGTTTACGTGCAAGTTGTTGTTGTTTTGCTGGGGTGCCCTTCCACTTGTCCTCCACTTCCTCTGATGTCTGGCGTGGTTGGTGAGGCACGCTCCAAGGCACAGATGCTCCAGCTCGTTCCTTTCCAAGTGTTTCTTGGAAATCCAGCTGTATCCTCTCCTCTCTGGCCTGCGATGGCTCACGCTGGCCAGGTAATCCATTTTCATTACACTCGGCCTCAGTGACATCTGGTCTTACCAATTAGGCTCATTCCCTCGGGCACCCCGTGGAAATGAAGCACACCTCATCCCAACGTGCCCACGAGTGTGGCAGCCCAGCCTCGACAGGATTGAGATATCATAGAATCTTACAGCACAGAAGGAGGCCATTCGGCCCATCGTGCCTGTGCCGGCTCTTCGAAAGAGCTACCAATTAGTCCCCACTCCCACCGCTCTGACCCCAACTAGTCCCAGTCCCCCCACTTTCAGCCCAACTAGTCCCACTGCCCCCGCTCTTATCCCATAGCCCTACACATTTTTTCTTTCAAGTCCCTCTCCAATTCCCTTTTCAAAGCTACTTTTGAAATCTGCTTCCACCACCCTTTCAGACAACAACTTGCATTTATATAGCGTCCTTCACGCAGGGTAGTGTTCCTAATAATATTATTATTATCATCATCAAATGCAAGGATTATTGCAGGATTATTATTCTGATGGCAAGCTTCTGGAACTGGGTCCTGTTGGACAGACTTATCGAAAAGTCCCAATTAAGACGAAACCAGAAGTAAACATGACGTGACCAGTCAGTGAGTGATGGTCCTTGTCCCATCCATTCACCTCCTGCACCTGGATCTGATTAACAGGAGAGTTTCGGCAAAGCTGAGCGAGCATAGATCTGTCAGGAAGCCAGTTAGCCAACTGATGACAGGCTCAAGGAACCAGTGAGCAACCAAGAGAGAGAGAGAGAGAGACAAAATCAGTTCTTCACAGAGTGAATCCTGGTCTCGGGCGCACTTGGCAATCAAATGAGTCCCTTATCTTTCGATTCCGTTTTCAAAAAAGTAATAAGCTTTCAATTCCGCTGGTAGGCTTGCAAGGCTGTAACTGAAATGATTACAGATAGCGCAGGTCTCCGCAGCGAACTGTGAGATACTGGGTAAGGGCAGCGGTGTAGTCTGTCAGTCTCATAATAATAATAATAATAATAGTAATCATTGGATTTGATATTGCCCTTATTGTGGAGTCCTGTAGCTCAGTGGTTACAGCCTCGCCTCGCAAGTGAGAGGACCTGGGTTCGATGCCCGGGTTCCAGGTTGGGGCGAAACGTTGGGCAAGTGTCCTGACGCCACACACACACACACACGCGCGCGCACACATCTACGTTTGCCTAACAGTAAGTAGGAACTCGGTTATTAGTCGATTGGCGGATCGCTTTTCTGAGGATAATAATTCTGTCAACATTTTTAAAACATAAAAAATTATAATTTATTAAGCATTGCCCCCACCCCCCGGAAAAGCGATCCGCTAATCGACTAGCAAGCGGGTTCCGACTTACTACTAGGTAAACAGAGGTGGGTGCGTGTGTGTATAAGGAAACTTTCCTAATGTTTCGCCCTGCCTGGGAATGGAATCTCTCTCTTTCCCCCCACCCCCACCACTCCCCTCACTTTCTGCGGCAACTTGGTACCCGTGGGGAGGTTTTGAAGAAAAAAAACTGCAAGGGACCGAACGGCAAAGAGAAAAAAAAACTGAAAAGAAAGGACGTAAATTCAGAAGGACTACAACTGTGGGACGGATTTGCAACCCCCACACTTAACAAACTCTGTCTGTGAGGCGTGAGCTGCGATATTTTTCAACGATTCGCAAGCTTTTTCCTTTCGATCGATCCTTTTTGCCTTCTAAAGAGCACCCGCTGGCTTCCAGCGGTTCAATCAGCCAACGGCTGGGGGCCTGGTGAATTGCTGGTGGTACCTTGTTAGAGGAAACAGCTCAAAGACCAAGACAACACTGGGAGGCCGTGGACTGATGGAGCCAAGTGGAGAGCGATCACATATATCTGCACAAAGTGGCCAGGAGGTAATTGCTTTGTGTGTGAGTCTCAGTCACCCAATGTGATTAGGGGGTCGGTTATGTAGAACGCTTCCGCGAAAAGGGATTCAATTTGGGGGCTTGGAAATGGCTCATCGCCAAGTGCAAGGTCAATATTAAGAGTCGAGAAGACAAGTCTGACTTAAAAGCACTGAAACAGGCCATTTGGGCACATTCGGTTCTGTGATACTTTGTGCCGACAGGAGCCACTCTGTCTAATAATAATAATCCTTGCATTTGATATAGTGCCTCATCACGTCTTCGAGACGTCTCAAAGCGCTTCACAGGTTACACTGTAAAGTGAATTGACGGTGTATTTTGTGGCCAAACGTAGCAGCCAATTGTACACAGCAGTGGTGGATTGAGCGACCAAATTATAATTTTTTTTTAATCCAACTCTCCCATCGCTCCCTCCTTAATATTCCTCCTCTCCCCGATTCTACCCATTGTTCTTTTTGGGAAGGTATTATTACCCATGGAAAGCGATCCGCCAATCCACTAACAAGCGGGTTCCTACTTACTGCTAGGTAAACAGAGGCAATTGTGCAAAGCAGTCGTGTTTAAATCCCCCGACGCAGTGGCACTGCTCTTTAAATTGCCAAATGTAGTACAAATTCCCTTCAAATTCCATCCTCCTGCTTCATTGTTCCGCCCCAATACGAAGCCACTGCCACTTAAATCCATGTGAGACAGAAGCAAAGGCCATTTGCAAGCGAGAGACCTGAGTTCAATTCCAGGCAGAGGGCGAAACCTTGGGCAAGTTTCCTTACTCCACACAGAGCCTAATAATAATCCCTCCAAAACCCAAAACAATAATAAATTGGTCATTTTCAATCTACGACTGTTTGTGGGACATTGCTGCGCGCACTTGGCTGTCGCGTTCGCCCACAAATATACAGTCAATTCACTTTACAGTGTGTTCAAAGCGCTTTGGGACGTCCTCCCGACGTGAAAAGCGCAATATCAAATGCAAGGATTATTATTATTATTATTATTTACTTCCGCAGCGAAATGGAACTGTCCCTTTAAATCCCTGAATAAAACAGCACAACACTTATATCCAAGCCCTGTGGTGGCCCCTTTAAATATCTGCAGCATAATCAGGGAGGCCTCTGAACTGGGTCAATGCAAAAAACACCCTCAGTTTGTTTGTGGGGGAGAGAGAGAGAGAGAGAGTGTGAGTGAGTGAGTGAGTGAGTGAGTGATTCCTCTTGAAATACCAAACATTTGACAACTTTGAAATTTATAACGTACGAGAGACAGACCGCTGGAACTGTGTGGGGCTCGATGTGAGTCAGATTTTTTTTTTACGCACGCACACGCACGCAGAGAGGTGCGATTGAAAAGCTCGTTGAAAACTGTGTGCAAAGTTGCCTGCCTTGCCAACCATCCGTGCTGCGGGAAAGAGTGGAAAAACCTTCAGCTCTGTGGCGGGATCTCCCTCCGACAAATGGTCTCGCCCGAGGGATTTGGTTTACCAGTTTGAAAGAATCCTTGGAGCAAGTTGGGGCGGGGTGGGGTTGGGGGGGGTGGGGGGGAAAGAACTGCGAAGGTCTGCTGTGATCAAAAATCAGTGAGTATCTAAGTCGCACCAAGTTATGTAAGGATGACGCGCGACCCTACAGTTTTATCATTAGCCTCTTCTGTTTCTTTGAAGCCTTCTTTCGAGTCTCTGTGGCACTTTTTTTTGCGACTCGTGGGCGTGAGAAAGTGGGGACGGTGTTTTGTTCCTCTCGTCTGGAGGAATTCTGTGGTATAGCCGCTAAAGCGCTCGCCTTGCAAGCGAGAGGCTTCGATTCCCAGGCAGGGCAAAACCTTAGGCAAGTTTTCTTACGCCGCACACGTACACCCAGCTCTGTTTACCGAGCAGTCAGTCGGAACCTGTTTGTTAGTCGACTGGTAGATCGCTTTTCTGGGTGTAACAATCACTTTTTTTTAAAAAAAAAGGTCATTCAATCCACGACCGTTTCTGGGACACGGTTGTGGGCAATTGGCTGCCACGTATCGCCCGCAAACTGTATCCAGTCAATTCACTTCACAGAATGTTCTGCCAAGCGCCTTGAGACGTCTCACATCGAAGACGTGATAAGGCGCCGTGTGAACTGCGAGGAATGTTATTGGAATTATTCAGCTCAGCGGGGAGTCCGTGCTGCCTGAACCCGCACTAGAAATGTGAGCGTGGGAAGCAGCCAGTGTTTACTACCCAACCCTAAAGCTTGATGGTGGATGAGTGTCTCAGTCAGCTCGAGCAGGAACAAACCGCGCCTGTGGATAATACACTATTAAAAAAAAATCGAGTCGGCGATGCAGATTGTGAGTAGAACTGTGTGTGTGGGGCTCTCAATGATTTAAGACATTTCTTAAGATCTAGATTTCTTACTGGGAAATCTGCCTTAGCGCAACTTTGGGTATGGGAAACGACGGAACTCCCCGCTGTGGAAGTGATCGCAACAGAGCATTGTAGCCAGGTTTCTTAATAACGCAAAATCATCCACTTCTTCGAGCGCTTTCCTGAATAATAATAATAATAATCCTCGCATTTGATAAAGAGCCTTCTCACTCCCATTGAGAAGACTCAAAGCGCTTCAAAGAATAATAACGACTTGCATTTATGTAGCGCCATTCACACGGGGGGGGGGGCATCCCGGAGCGCTTAAACCGCAATGTGGAGTGACTGTGTGTTTTGTGGGCGAAACACGGCAGCCAATTGCGCCCAGCAGTGTCCCACAAACAGTCGTGAATTGAGTGATTGATTTACACCTGGAAAGCAATCCTCCGATCGACAAAAAAACCAACCTGTGTCTGGGTCCAAACCTCTCAAAGCACTTCATAGGAAACTGTCTTTATTTGTAGAGGGGTAGCAGCTAATTTGTGCCCAGCCAAGTCCCGATTTTTATCTGAAAGGAGGACGCTAGGAGACACTCCCTTCTCTTTACTAACAGTGTGATGGGATCTTTTAATGTCCACTCAAACACGCGCAGATGGAAGGGAGCCGCGTTTGATATCTCACCTGAAAGGCACTACCTTTGACACTGTGGTGGTCAGCTTGGATTGTGAGCGTGAAGTCCTGACGTGGGGCTTGAACCCACAGCTTTCTAACTCGGCCTGGGCGAGCTGCGTTTTAGTAAGCAATCAAAGGGATTGACGTGCCTTTGGCTTACCAAAGTCTTGTCTGACAATAGTGGACGTTAGTCATGTTATGTCCTGCCCGTAGTACTATTCAGAAGGATAAGGGAGTTTCTCTCTCTCTCTCTCTCTCTCTCCAGATGTTCTGGCCAACAATCCCCCAAATTCAATTGGCCATTCGTTTCATGGTTGTTTGTGGGACATTGCTGTGTGCAAATTGGGCTGCTGTGTCTGACTGCCACAAAACAATCACTGCACTTTATGGTGTATCCTGTGAAGCACTTTGGGTTATCTTCCTGACGCTGTACTAAATATAGGGATTATTAACATTCAGCCAGTTTTTACTCTAGAGGCTTGTAATTTCCCACGCAGGAAATGACTGATTTTTTAACTGGGGGAATGGGCCAGAACACGGAGAGAGAGAAAATATAACATCTTATCACGTCTTCAAGACGTCTCAAAGCGCTTCACGGGATACACTGTAAAGTGAATTGACTGTGTATTTTGAGGGCGAAACGCTGGAGCCAATTGCGCACAGCAGTGCCCCGCAAACAGTCGTGGATCCAGTGACCAAATTATTATTATTTATTTATTCCTGTATTTATCCGTTCGAGCTGTGAGTGCGAGTGCTCAGTGCGCAACGAAGTTTCAGCTTCAATGGAGCCGAAACAGAAGAGCTGAAGTGAGCGCCACTGTTACTGTGGAGATTGCTGTTCAGACCCGTGGACAACTTCCTTGGGTTTCCTGCGGCCTCCACACACGCATTGTTACGAATCACTGCAGCAGAGAGGAGTTCTGTGGCAGGAATGAGCTTGTGAGTGAATGCGTGAGTGAGTGCGTGAGTCTGTGAGTCCGTGAGTGAGTGAGTGAGTGAGTGAGTGAGTGAGTGAGTGAGTGAGTGAGTGCGTGGGGGAATGGGGCAGTTCAGAGAGCAGGTCAGCTGCTGGTTTGCTCCACACCATGAGTCCGAGCTCGCAAGTGCAAGTCCAAACTTGCACTTGTGTGTGATCGGCATTCGGCATCGAGGCTTGAGACGTTAACAAGTTAAACCTGGAAGCGTTCCACCCTTCCTTCACACGAGCCTCCTGTGTACTGGTAAATATGTTATCTAGCTGTGTAGTTCTTTCAGTGAAGAACACTACAACGCCCACATTGGAGGTGCTTTCGAGAGCAGCTTTGATCAGTTGAGCAAAGCGAGTCGAGGCAGAGTAGCTGGTACACATATTTTAAGGCGTCTGGACCTGAATTGAATTCATTCCTAAAAAGGGTTTTGTGCAGTTGCAAATGACGGTAACTGGCAGGGCACCACCCATGTCCACTCCGGATGTAATTTAGAAGAGAAACGAGATATCTCTTCAATCAAGAGTTGCGGAATTCACTTGATACAGAGTCGGTGGGAATGAGTGAGCGACGTTGCTAAATACTTGGCTGGTAAGGGTAAGAAGAAAAGGCAAACATGCACATTGTTTTGCTATGGGGTCCAAATCCCTGACTGTCCAGCCCCTTAGGACATCCTCCCAACGCAAAAGGCGTGGTGTAAATGTAATTTGTTGCTGTTGCTATCGTTGTTAGCAAGTTGATGGTTGGGTTTGCCTACAAATATACGGTCACCACACTTTTGAGACGTTTACATGGAGGTGCTATCAAATGCAAGTGGTATATTAATCCTGCGTTGTTTTTGTGTGTGATTTGTGTTCATGATAGACCTACAAACCTTGCTCTCCAAGAGAACCTAAGAATTTCCTAAGCAAAAGAAGACCAAAGTCCATCCAGTTCGCCTTCCACCATCCTGGCAGTCGCACGACATGTCATGTCCCAAACTATATATTGTATTACGAGATGCTTCTCCTAACAGAAATCTATCTCGTTCTTCAAAGAATCAACACTTTCTGCTTCCGCCGTCTGCCTAGCGGAGCCTGTTCCGTCAATTAGGCATCATACAGAGCCTCCAGGAGGAATTTATATGATTCTTAATTGAAACTTTTCCAATGAAATAAATATACAGCCACCACATTTGACAGTAAATCCCGTGAAATGCTTGGAGCTGTCCTCCCAGTGCGAAAGTGCAACTTTCAAATGCAAGTGGAGTCCGGCAGTTCAGAGGTTAGAGCGCTCGTCTCGCAAGCGAGAGGACCTGGGTTCGATTCCCGGGCAGGTCGGGCACGAAACGCTGGGCAAGTTTCCATACCCCACACGCCTCTATTTACCTCGCATTAAATAGGAACCTGGTTGTCAGTCGACTGGCTGATCGCTTTCCCGGGTGTTAATAATCCCTTAAAAAATGTCACTTAATCCACCACTGTTTGTGGGATGTTGCTGTGCGCAATTGGATGCCACGTTTTGCCCACAAAATATACAGTCAATTCACTTTACAGTAGATTCTGTGAAGCACTTTGAGACGTCTCGAAGACGCGATAAAGTGCTGTATCAAGGATTGTATATTATAATAAATGCAAGATAAGTCACGTGTTGGAGCGGCACACCTTGCTGGTGAGATGACCTCAGTAGAAGCGCTCTTGCGAGAGATTTGATAGCCTTGCTCCTGATGTGAAATGAGCTGCAAAAGTGTGAATTTGCATTGTGTGCTTTTATGAAAATTATTTCAGGAAATGTTTTGTAAATTAGGAACTAAAGGCTAATAGTTTACCAACATGTGACCTGCTGGCTGTTTATATCTCTCTCGCTAGTTCCTGCACTGTAAGTGTTTGAGTGTGGTACACAAAATGCTGTTTCTACAATCCTCCATTATGGTTATATATTATAATAATCCTTGCATTTGATATAGCGAATTATCACGTCTTTGTGATATACTGTGAAGTGAATTGACTGTATATTTTGTGGGTGAAACACGGCAGCCACTTGCGCACAGCAGTGTCCCACAAACAGTCGTGGATTGAGTGACCCAATTATTATTATTTGTCTTCTTGAGGGATTATTATCAGGCATGCGGAGGAAGGAAACTTGCCCAAGGTTTCGCCCTGCCAGGAATTGAACCCAGATCCTCTTGTTTGCGAGAGCTACCAACGAGACCCACTCTCCGCTCTTATCCCATAGGCCTGCAATTTTTTTTTCTTTTCAAGTAAATATCCAATTGCCTTTTGAAAGCTACTATTCAATCTGCTTCCACCACCCTTTCAGGCCGTGCATACTAGACCGGCAGTCT